ATCTTTTGGCTGCCTTATCATTGCCTTCATCAGAATTAGACTCATACAACAAAGTTGGTTCATTCAGAACCATTGGTGGTCCAGGTTTCTTTTTAGGAGATTCATCTGATTCTGAACCATACAGAAGTGTTGGCTCACAAGAAGGACCCTTGTCTGAAACCCTTGCTGCTGGGTGCCTTGGTCTTTTAATTGGGCTCCCATCATCAGATTCAGAGCCATATAACAGTGTAGGCTGGCATGGAGGTTGGGTGACAGAAACCCTTGCTCCAGGGTGCCTGAATGGGCTTGCATCTGAGAGTGAATCAGATTCAGAGCTAACCTTCAAAGTTTGTGGAATGCTTCTTGTTTGAGCTGAGTGAGATCCAGAAGACCCTGTTGAATCTCTATGAAATGAAAACAATTAGAGGTACTTATAAAACTTCTGTTCCTCTTACAAGATTGGCAGAAGAGCCATTAACCCTTTTACTAAAGATTTCAGCAGTAATTCTCCTTACTGTCTGCCATACAATTCTTATGATGTTTGTTCTGAGAATTCAGTACTGGATCAACTTATGATCCCCTAAAAGATATTTTTCTTTATTCTCATGACTAGCCTGTTTGATATTGTAATGATGTTGTAAGGGGAAATTCTGTCTTGGTCACTCATGGGAATTTAAGATTTGGGCATAAAAAACCTCATAAAGAAGTAAACAGTATAATATTTTGAATAATAAAAGTCTCAGATGAGATTTTATAGTGCACAAACTGTGAACCTCTGTTCTTGCATGTTTAGTCATAAAACATTTCAGAAAGGGAAAGAAGAGAGCATTTCACTAAAAATCATATAGCTCAGAGTTAGTCAACTTCAAATCTTCTTTAAAAAACTGAGCAACTCACCTACACTGAAACACATGGCTTGGGCTCCCAAGTCCAAATGCAAGAGTCTGTCCCTCCAAGCCAGCATCTTGTTTTATTGGAACACCTATTAATAAACACAAGAGCAGAACTGCAAATAGCTTTTCTTTCTTGAGAGGAAGTAGCTCCGACCACATTCTCCAATTAGTCCTGGGTATTTCACTACACAATTTGCTTGGGGTTTGAAATTTTAAATTTGGGGGAAAAAAACCTTTGGAAATTTATATATGTAACAACCTACTCGTTCAAATTTTACACTTAAGACTTACTTGAGACCCTCTGCTCATTGGATATCTCCTTTTCATCCTCAGAGCTGTACAATATAGTTGGCACTGCTGTTGTTACAAGAGGTCGCTCTTCATCAGTGTCACTATCTGTGTCTGCAGCATATGCATCTTCATCATCCTTAACAACAAAAGAATGCTTGAAGATAATCTAATTTAATTAAAATAGCATCCCATGAAAAAAGTATAGAGATCTTTGCTCATCATCATACACATACCTTGGATGGTTTTGTCGTTTCATGGTCTGGTTTTGCTTGCAGTAATGATTCCCTTGGGGCAGCTCCTTTTACATGTACATCAATGGTACTTGAAATACTAACATCCTCACTCTCTATTGGCTGTCAACAAGAAAAACCCACAAGCAACTATCTATTTTACAGGGAACTTCAAACATGGTGTAACATTAAAAACTTGGCAAGTGAGAACATTTCTAAATTTTCTAATTTTCCTCAGCTTCAAACTTTAAAAACCTGACCTTTCATGATGGGTTGGGAATCTTTTTTCAAAGTTTACAAAACTCATGGTCAAAATTCTCCAGTCTAGATTGTTTTACATACATGAACACCTGATAGCAAACTTTTGTATGACTCAAAACCTGCAATCAATCTTAGAAGCTCTGCATCATTCTTTTAAGTGAAAGAATAACAAGGGAAGAACCTTGACCAAGGAAATGTGCCATTTCAGTACTGATGTTGGCAATTGTTGCATCCTATCAAGAAGAGCATGACCATAACACTGATAAGATTTGGTTACTCCCTTAGGCAGCACAAACACTTATTTGATGAGCTATTAATAGTAAACCTGGAAAACAGGGAATAGTTATGAGTTATAAGTGGAAAGGACAAAGAAAGCTAAGAGTGTGTTTTTGTTGTTCTAAACAACTGATAACCTGCTCAGCCTGATCATTACCTTATCAATCTTCTTCATTCCTTCCTCAGTGTTCAAATCTGTCAACATAGATTCAGAACCTGTCTCTGAAACTGTTTCATCACCATCATCCTGCAAATCAAAACAACAATTATAGTAATATCAATTATCAAGCCACTGCAGAAGACATAGTAACACACACTGTAGCAATCAGCATCCTAGACTACAGCTGGACCCAGTTGTTTGAAGGCTGATTAGTGCTAACTTTTTTAGTCTGTCTCTTTATTCCTTTATTCAAAAGCCTTTTTGGGATAATTTTCTGCATTTGTTTCAGAACATCCAATAATCATATTGCAGACAAAAAGAATTCAACTGAATTTTCCTTAAAAGCTTTCAGATCTGAAATCAGATTTTTATAATAATCTTTAGTTATCTTGACCCAGCTTTTAACAACCTGGCTAAGATCAAAAGGTCTTGGTTTAACCTTGGCCAAGACATTGTGTTGTGTTCTTTGGCACGATAGTGTATTAACAAGACAGTGGATTGCCACTCTGTCTGAAAGGAGTAGCTGCAATACTCCTACATTTATGATGGGCTAAACCTGACAAGGTCTTAGGATGAGCCTTGTCAATCCCCTTTAGTACCAGTGCTGCTGACATTGAACCACAATTCCTGACCCACTTACTGCCCCCAGGCTTCACTCACCTCCTCCTCCTCCATGACCATCAAGTATTGACAAGTCACATCACCAAAAGTCAACATATCCCCATGTTTAAGCTCATACCGTACCTTGGGCTTTAGGACAGACTAAAATGTGAAATTCAGAGTAATTGTCATAAATATTTTAGCATGTACCTTTTGTAAGTTGAATGGAAATCCTCCAGTCTGGTGTGGGCAATGTATAATACAGCAAACAAAACAGGTTATACCGGAGTAAAGAAATATTTTCAAAAAATTGGTTCTGGAGGATCTACTGTAATCTTATTTCTTTCACTCATAAAAGACAGACCAACAAGCTGAAAGGTTTTTAAAGTATTTATTACACAATGCAAGGAACTCTAAAGTACCTTTCCTTTCCTTGTTCTGTTCTTGCTCTCACAATCATACAGAAGGTGAAGATCTCTTTGCACTTCAATGCAGGCATGTTTCTTTGACAAAGCCTTATGATTAAAACGTAAAGTAGAAAGTAAGTAGAAGAGAACAGCATAACAATACAGCTCTAGAAACTGCTGTGTCAAAGGGCAAGAGGGGAACAAAAGACTTCTTGTCTTGTCTTGACTTCTCGTGCTCAGTTATGGGCTTACTTACTAAACAGTCTGGGGCCAAAAATTTAATGAAGAGAACTACTCACCTTTATGGGGATAGTGATGTTACACTTGCCATCTCTCCCTATAAAATTATCACCTTTTGAGAAAAAAAGATGTACAAAGCAGTTATATTTTTATCTATCCTTAAGCCCTTAAGCAGACAATAGAATGAACAAGACAGAAAAGTGGTGAAAATGGGAACAAAACGAAGAAAAAGTTAAAAGATAATAAAGGAAATGAAAAACAAAAAAACATTGAATGGCCGCAGTACAAAAATATATGGAGGAAGCCTACTAGCTAAGTAATAAACAAATGATAAAATGCAGAAAAGAAGCACAAACCTTTGAATACTGGAAAAATTGATTCTTTAAAACCTTGTTGAGAGAAAACTTTAAGATGTGCAACCTAAAACAAAAGTAAAAAACATTCAACATCATTGAACCAGGATAATGATGAAAATGATTACAATGATGATAATTATGAAGTTACTGTAAATTATTTCTGTTCAGCTCCCCCTCTGTCAAAAACTCCATGTAAAGTATGCTCTAATTTGCAGGAGTAAACAAAGCCCCACCCTTTATTGATGGTCCTCAAGGATAAGCACCATTAAGGAAAAAAAACCACTTCCAAAGCAATCACACAAGTAATCTTTTTAAAACTATTTCATAATGATTTGTAGATTCTGAAACTTATATTTCAAACTCAAAGTTATCAGGATCAGATTTATTTTATGTAGAGATTTTTATTTGAATAGTGCCAGTTAAATTAAGTTTTATTTGTAGTATAAAGAGGGAATAACTCATTGATTAACGCTCATGTAAAAAAATAAGACGAATACACTACCATGAAAATCTTAAAGGTTATCGACCCCCCTAAGATACAGTCACAAGTAAAAAATCATTCCTTGTTCTCCAAAATGTCTCTTTTTACCCTTTCACCCACCCCTCCCCCTCCCAACTCACACACGCACAGTGGGGGAGTGACTGTTCCTTTCAAAACAAGAGAATAGCGAAATGTGCACGAGATTTCGTTCAATTTCAACCGTCGAAAGAGTTTAATTGGCCATGTTCTCCCAATCTCCTGGATGGCGACGCGAAAGGAAACGAAAGGAAGAAACGAAAGGAAACCAACAAACCAGCAAAAACAAGGCACGCCAACATGAGTGCCTCTGAAACGTACGAAATGTAATTGTAGCGCTCAAGGAATGCATTGTAATTCTACGGAATTTTTTCAAACTTACCTCGATTTTCTTGGAGCGAACCTTATTCTCTTCCTCACTTTCTGCCTCCTCCAATTCAAAATCATCTATTACTTGTGTCTGATCGAAATCCATTTCACAAAAAACCTGCTTCTGTATCGCGTCACAACTTAAGATCTTGCGAATCCCTCAGGCAATCCTGATCACACCTTTTTCCGAACTACCGTTACCATGGAGCTTCGATGTAATTTCAAGATTGAAATGGAACTTATCGAGTTAAAAAAAAATACAAGATAAAAAACAGCAGTGTAATGTTTCAAGCTTTTACCCCAGTTAAGTTTTCATAGAAACCTGGTCCGCCATATTAAAAATTTCCCGCGAAAAGCCAGCGGTGTGCTTGTTCACTCGTTTCAATCTCACTCGGTCATCGATGATGTAAAATGATTCACACGACCACACAGAAGAACTCGTGACACTTGCGACTAGGAAGATTATCATCTCCACTGTAATTCTAAATTTTGCACAATGGTAAAGCTTACTGGACTCTCTGTCCGTGACATACGCTTTCCAACATCTCTGGAACTGCATGGCTCAGATGCTATGGTGAGAACTTTACAAAAACCTTTAAAACAAATCGTCTTAGAATTTTAGAGCAACCCACGTCGTCGTATTTTGCATGCCCACGAAGTGGACCTACAGCCCTTCGAATTACTTTCCGTACCTCCCCCGCCCCGGCCCTACCTCACAGCTTTTCCGATGGCCCGGCCTAGGGGTGTAAAGGGTGGTATCAGTGGAGAGGGTGATAGGGAAATTAAAACAGAGGTGATCGCGTGACTGACACCAGTTTAAGAGAAATATTAGTTATGAACAGATATCGCGCTTCTGATTGGCTGAAAACGAGTGCATTCTCATGTAACACGAGTGCAAAGTTGTAACACGAATGAAAATTACAACAAGCGTCTGCACGCTTTCAAAATCTGCCTGTCTTGACTTCCTGTTATGTTTTTATCATTTACATTATTTACAATTAATAACAATTTTCTCCTGCAGTTTGTTGTAATAAGCACTTGGAAATTTTTCAGAGACTTCAAATTGCTCTTGCCCTATGGGCTCGTGCAATTTTGTTACCTTTGAAAAATGTACTTGTGCTTATTTACACCAAATTACACTTGAAAACATGTTATTACCTAGACAAATAATTTGGCGCATTATGTAACCATGTTGCATTCCTTTGTCAATCATGGAAATGACTGTACAAGATTTGGGAATCATATTAATTTATATGACTGATGCCTTTTTACAGTTTTTTTTTCTCAGCCATTCTAAAATCCAGTGAGTTTTTGCAGTGGTTTCTTTTTGTCTAATTTCCTGCAACAAGGTTGAAGTACAACTACCTTTTACTTGTATAGATTACAGTTTTCTAGTTAGACTGTGGCAAGACCTGTATTTTAGTGTAGTTTGATTGTCAAAATATCATCAGAAAATAATGTAACAACCTTGTGAATGTTTTCCAGGGAACTTAACAAGTATTCAGCAAAGTTATTTATGAAAAAGGGGTCACAATTTTGTCTCAATACTTAAAAATGTGATATATGATGAGACATACTTTACATGTACTTTATTATTACATATTACTGTTTACAGCACAAGTCACCTGATTACTCAGCAGTGTATATTGTCTTCGAAACAGATGGACTGGATAATATTGAAGGGCATGGCCTTACCTTCACTTTGGGACGAGGCAATGAACTAGGTATGTGTATTGCCTCCATTTGACTGTTTCACTGTGCTAATTTCTTTCTCTTCATCAAATGATGTGATAAATTTTCAAATTTACCTTAAGAAAAAAGATGCTATTGGAGGAAATATCAGTTAACTTTCAGATATCTGAGGACTTAGATTTCTGTCTCTTTCAGTCATCAAAAACGTTTCACATTTTTTTTTCATATTTTGTAATATATGTATCATTGAGTCATCTCCTTCATAGCCATTGTTTTGTCTCATCTCGCACGATGCTTTTTTTTTGGGTGAGGGATGAAAGCAGGTTGCATGATAAGACCAGTTGATGGCTGTGAAGGAGACTAGCCAGGAGGTTCAAGTCACAAAAAACTGTAACTTAAGTCTTGAAAATGCCCTTAAAAGTCCAAGGCTTCGGTTTTTCACAATGCTGACCAACCAAAAAAATAATTTTTTCCCTTTCTTTTTCAAATCACATTTACAGTGATTATTACTGACCTTTTCCATGTACACATCCTGCATAGTGATTGCAGTAGAATACAACAAACTGATGTTCAAAAAAGGATTATTTATATGAATATTGATGACAACTTCCTTTCTGACTTAATTTTTTTCCAAAGCTTAGATTTTTTTTTGTAGGCAATAAGACAAGAATTTGCAAAACCATTGCTATAACCATTGGTTATTACTGTTGCTGTATTATTTTTCCCTTATTACATTTTATTGCATTTACTTTTAACTGTATGTTCTCATCTCTGTTATAATTAGATAGAAGTAATAAATAAATACTTTTTTTGCAAACTGTATTTCAATCGTTCATTAGTGATGGAAGCAGTGAAAACATATGGCAAAATGCTCATTGACAGGACAACTGATGAAATCTTTGGTAACTTTGCCTCAGTTTGGAGAGAACTGGCTCATGAAAGTCAGTTTAGATGGGTAAGAAGTCATCGCAGAGATAAATCATTATGATAGGTATTTAAATATATTTTAAAGAGCAGACTACAGTTCTCTAAATATTACCTTCTTCTTCCCTTTGTTGTTCATCACAAAATGATTTTTAAATCCCACAAATCACTAATTTTTTGAAAACCTCTCACTGATGTCTAATATTTTTGATATTTTTTTTGTTTTAAGCTTGGTCCAGAAAAAGGTGTGATACATCTTGCACTGGCTGCAGTTGTAAATGCATTGTGGGATCTTTGGGCAAAGATGGAGGGCAAGGTAAAGTAAGACAGCCATTCACTTTGTTTATTAATGCATACAATTCACATGTGGCCTGAACAGGTTAAACCAGTTAGTAAAAGCATAATGTGTGGTTGTAACAGAGTGGAATAGGACTTGTGTGACCTAGAATTGAGTGACAAAATAGTTATTTGGTTGAGGAATTTTTGTAAGATTTTGCAACTTTAGTCGTTGTTATGGGAGCCCATTTTGGTGGTCTCATGTTATTGTTTTCCTGAGATTTTTGCCTCTGTCTCGTGTACTTAGAGTCATGCAAACTGCAAAGCTCATTTACTGAAAATAAATGCTGTTGGGTTTTGAGAAGAATTCGAGATTTGCTGTTGGTATTTCTACCCACTGTTACATGACCATTCAAACTAAAGCTGCAAAGCAATGTCTTTGGGGTACTTTCTCTTTTTCAAACTATTGCTAAGTATCTTTTTCATGTGTAATTACAATCAAATATTATTTGATAATAATTTAACACTTTGCTTCAACTTCAACTTAACCACTAGTAGTGGTATAGTCAATTTAATCTCAGTGATAAGTTACATTATGTGATCATTTTTCTATGCAGCCTCTTTGGAAACTTCTTACAGATATGGTGAGTCATTTGAAGTCCTGTTATGCAACATGCTCTTTTAGTTCTATGTTTCTTTAATTGCCCCTTGTATACTTTCCCTGTGACACCACTATAGAAAGTTAGAGTTTGGGATGATGCAGTGAAGGGGCAGGAATGAAGTGCAAGTGGTAGAAGCAGAGAGGTGGGGGTACATGGCAGGTATAAGGACTTGGTGCAGTGACTGGTTGGGGCTGAGGGCTGTGGAGGTGCAAGAGAGTGGTTGGAGAAAGAGAGCTACAGGGGGTGTAATGGTGTTGTTCCATGACTATTAAGGGTTCAGGGTGATGGAGGTTTATGCTAGTTAGGGAAGGAGGGCTTTAAGAGTTCTAGTGCTGGTGTTCAGAGACTGTTAAAGATTAGTGCATGAAGGTGTGATTGGAGGTCACTGGTAAAGAGGTGGGTGAGGGTGACTTTGAAGGCCTTTGGAAAGGGCTTTTTTCCTTCTCTTTGTATAACCTCTGAAGATTCCAAAAAAGAAGGCATAACCAGCCAATGAAACAGAAAACAAAATTGACAATGGCCAGCGAAAAGTACAACTTAACTGTACTTTAATAGATTTTTTCATTTCTCTTTATAGTCTCCAGAACAGCTTGTTTCAACAATTGACCTAAGTTACCTGTAAGTATTTGTGTGTTGTTTGTTTGTTATGAGATTTTTTATATACATATGAAATAAAAGATGACAAATAAAGTGAACATAGGAACTTAAAACACTTATTTGTGGCATGTCACTGTCATCATGATGGTATTTTTCTGTGTCCACAGATCAGATGTGTTAACAAAAGAGGAAGCCATTGGTAAGTTATCCTTATATTTATTAATATTTTGGTCTTCTCTTGGATCAGGTTAGGAAGCTTTTTATAAGTCTCCTTACAGAGTAGAAAAAGTACTAATGCCAAAAGGGCTCAGATATTCTCGTTGCACTTTGTCAAATTTTACTATAAGGACATTCATTTCATTTTACTGCATTTGAGAACTTCAAAGTAAAGAAAGTCGGATCAATATCAGTATCTGGGCAACTACCCACCTACCCCTCCCCTAACTCAACAGCAGTCAATTGACAACAAGTTAAGGTTAATGTTGGGTTAGGGGAGGGGTAGATGGGCAGTTGCCCAGATACTGAAATTGATCCAGAAAGTCAATTTCTTGTGGGATAAATTTGTGCTAAAATTAAACCACTTATCACAAGAATACAGCACCTTAATCTAATCGTTATGGATTAACTTTTCTAATCATATAAAAAAAAAAACAATCTTTGAGAAGCTACCTTTATCATTATACTCTGTAAGATTTATACTCTTTCTTTGTAGCTATTCTTCAGAAGAATGTAAGTGGCAAAAAAGAAAGAGGTATTTAAAGTTAAAGATATTTTCTGTTTTAATTCTCATATTATAATTAAGTATATTGATTCATTGTTCTGACTAAGCTTATATCATGTCAGGATAACTGACCAGATGGTATAATTATATACTTAGCCCTTTCACTCCTAATTCTCCCTACTGTCTGCCATACAATTCTTATGATGTTAGGTTTGAGAATTTTGTATTAGATCAACCAATAATCCCCTAACTTGTATTTTTCATCATTCTTATCACTTACCTACATGATATTGTATTGGTATTGTAAGGAGAAATTCTGTCTAGATCACCTGTTAGAGTTAAAGTGTTAAGTACAATTTCCATTTGCTTTCAGAACAAGAGATCATTGCTAAGGGATATCCTTCTTACACAACATCTGCTGGGTGGCTTGGCTACACTGACACTCAGCTACGTGAACTGTGTCAAAAATATCTCAAGGCTGGCTGGACAAGGTAATTGTCAATGCTTTCTTTTAACAAGTCATGTTGAAACCTGTACAGAATTGTAGTTGCAAAAAAGTGAAAATCTAAATAATTCAACTGCAAGTGCCTCTGTCCGACCTTTCATTCAGTTGATGGTAATAGGCTCAATGAATTCACAAATTTTTTGTGTTTGACAAAGGAGAAAACATCAAGTCTGCACTTTTGCAGATGTAAGTTAAATGAGTGGGTTACTTAAACACCATTTCATTGCCTATTAAAAGACCAGGTTGTCTGGTTGTCCATTGTGATTACTATGGTTTTGGTTATATGGAACTGAATAAAAAAAGCACTCTATAAAAAAATTATAGAAGTTAACTGAATTTGTTAACTGTTATCTTTTGCAACACGTACAGATTCAAGATGAAAATTGGTTCTGATCTTGATGAAGACATCAGAAGAGCAACAATATTCCGAGATGAGATTGGATGGGATAACTTTCTGGTAAATATTAGACTGCTGTGGGGTCCATTTTTACCCCATCCTGTTTTAAGGCAAGCATTTAAATATAAAATGGTTGTCCCTGTTATAGGCTCTTCTTATATGACATGGCTCCAATAGCTAATTCAACTTGGACCTGCTAGTTCTTTGCCAGAGTCAGGCACCATGTTTTACTCTTCACTCCTTTGTAAAAGGTTGTTCAGTTAATCCACAGTGGCAACATGACTGTCTTCTCTGTGCTCTGTGTGTCCTGATCAAAGTTTAACATTTAGCTCTTATGTTATAATCAAGACTATATTTTGTTTAAAGTGCCTATTTAGACCATGCTCCACCAGCTGTGATCTCTTTACCTTACCTCTGGTTGTGAGCACAGTTCATCTTTAAGTTCTACATGGCCACCAATGGACATTCAAAGCCTTCCAGATCTAGAACCAAATGTTGAGTTCTATTTTGAAAAAAATTAGAATGTGCTTTTAGGTTGTCTGTGATCTTCCTTTACTTTGGATACAACATTACAACATTTTGTAGGCAATGGATGCAAACCAGCGTTGGGATGTTGGGGAGGCTGTTAGTTATATGACAAAATTGGCAAAATTTAAACCAGTGTGGATTGAGGAACCTACTTCACCTGATGATGTTTTAGGTAAATAAGTCAGCATCACCTATACACTTATCAATTCCTACCAGTACTCTCCCTACCTATGTGAAGAAACTTGTTAGGCTTCACACAAGAGCCTCTTATTTCCTGTGCAATTCAACTATGACCACACCGGCTTATACTCAATTCGGATCAATATCAGTATCTGGGCAACTGCCCACCTACCCTTCCCCTAACTCAACAAGAGTCAATTGACAGCAAGTTAAGGTTAATGTTGGGTTAGGGGAGGGGTAGGTGGGCAGTTGCCCAGATACTGATATTGATCCCTCTATTCAATATTTCAACATGTATGTCCAGAATCAGATAATGGGAATTTAGGGGTGTACTAAGTACAAGCCTTGGGTGATGCATTGGGACACTGGGATAAGTAGTCAGGGGTTGCAAACAAATGATGCTTGCTTCCTTGAGTTACAGCTGAATTTTTTTTTCTTGGTTTCATCATTCAAAATAAGAATGAAATAATTCTTGTTTCACTGATTAAAGGCTAACAGCAGTAATTAGTTTAAATTTATTATGAGGAGTTGTGCAGCTCCTTGTTGAATTGTTGAGTGAAGTTTTTTTTACATCGGAGAAGAGTTTAAAAGTAAGATCACCCCAATCACACCAGCAAAACATGTTTAGTTGAACCCATTATTTTTAACTGAATGATTTTCCATAGGGTTCAAGAAATTGCTAACTTGCCTTTTCAATGTGCTTCATCTGAAGTGGACAAAAATCTATTTAAGCAGCTTCTATGAAGAACAACATTTTAAACTCTGTTTAACAAAACAGCTTTAAAACATGGATATATAAGCTTTGGTATGAATGGGGTATATGGGGATCGACTGAATTTATTCTGATGTTACCATTTATCAGGTCATGCTGCAATTTCCAAAGCACTGGAGCCTTATGGCATAGGTGTGGCCACAGGGGAACACTGTCAGAACAGAGTTATCTTCAAGCAGTTTTTTCAAGCGAAGGGTTTCCAGTTCTGCCAGATTGACAGCTGTCGGATGGGTGGATTAAATGAAGTTTTGGCAGTTTTACTAATGGCAGCTAAATTTGGAGGTAAAGCATGAGGCTTCATGTTTAATAACCCCTTAACCTCTAAGAGTTACAGGCTTCTTATATCTCTTTACAGTATCACCCTTGAATCAAAAGTTAAGGTCATGATGATGAAGAAAATTATCATCAATTTAAGAAGTTCTGATAGTCAGCCAAATTCTCCTCATCAGTATCATAGGAATTATGAAGAAACAGTGAGGAGAATATACTAACGTTAGGTTATACAATTCCAGTGAGCCACACAGACAAGTAATACTCAGCCTTGGCTGGGTTCTTGTGTTGTGTTGAGTTCTTTGCAAAACACTGTACTCTTGGCAGACAGTCAGGAAACCTAGAACAAAATGCTTGGGGTAACTTGAGAAACATGGCAAAATTCTTGAGGGACACCCTGGGTGCCTCTGATGGACTACCATCCCATCCAGAGAAAGTAACAATACTCCAACTTTCTTGATACCATGGAAACTGGACAGAGCTCTGGCAATATGAGCCACTGAGTGAAGACTTTCCATCAGAGTTAACAGAAACTTGAAAGAATATGTCTAGTTTTGTCTTTATTTAAGCAACCCCAACACCAATTGTCCAAGCTTTATTTCAGCTAAATTTTATTTGGTTAAAGAACATTAACTAATTATGAATGTACAATATTTAGAGGGCAAAGTTTTCATAGATGTGCTCAAATGTGAATTACAACTGAAATGAAACTTAACCAACATTAGGTGAAAATTTAACTTTCATGACTTTTTTCTTTTCAGTTCCTGTTTGTCCTCATGGTGGTGGTGTTGGTCTGTGTGAATACATTCAACATATTTCAATTTTTGATTTTATCTGTGTTTCCGCAACTTTAAAAAACAGGTATGTAGTTTTAAAAAAGAAAGGTGTATAATACACTATAAAGATTAGCTTATTCAAGTCGAATCAAGATAATTGGCTACCATCAAAAATTTGGCTTATTACTTAACCCCTTAACTCTCAAGATCTCATCTATGTAGTAATTTTCCTTACTATCTGCCATACAGTTCTTTTGATATCAGTTTAGAGAATTTGGTATTGGATCAAGTTATAATCCCCTAATTGATATTTTTCTTTATTCTCATTACTTGTCTCCTTGATATTGTACTGATATTGTTAAGAGAAATTCTCTCTTGGTCACTCATGAGAGTTAAGGGGTTAATAGAGAAAGACAAATGGTGGGATCAATGTCAGTATCTTAGCAACTGCCCACCTACCCCTCCCTTATCCAACATTAACCCTAACTTGTTATCAGTTGACTGTTGTTGGGTTAGGGGAGGGGTAGGTGGGTAGTTGCTCAGACTGACATTAATCTGAATGGTGTTACCTTCAAACAATTATTACTATTTCTAAGCACTAGCATGTTTCTTACTTGATGGTATGAATTCTCATCTATCCCTTTTCTAATTGATTAACCCTCCACTTCCAATTCTCCTTACTGTCTGCCAAATGATTCTCATTATGTTAGTTTGGAGAATTTGGTATCGAATCAATTAGTAATCCCATAATTGTTATTTTTCTTTATTCTCATCACTTTTCTGCATGATACTGTATGGATATAGTAAGGAGAAATTCTTTCTTGATCACTCACGGGATTTAAAGAGTTAACATCCCATGGTGCCTGAGAAATGTTAGAAACATAATTATATAACTGTGATCGTGCACATTTTAAAGACCTGTTAACCAAGTAATCCTCACCCTCTTTAATGGTCAACAGGGTAACAGAGTTTGCTGATCACCTTCATGAGCATTTTATTCATCCCTGTGTTGTAGAGAGTGGAGCTTACAAAGTGCCCATGGTAAGTTGATTTGAGAAAGACATTAGGGTTACTGATCTGATACAATTTGCAGTTGCTGTACTTTCCTCTTTTTGTAAACATGCTGTTTTATTCAGTATGTTTTGTTACAAAACGTGTGTGGTGCAAGTTATCTTTGCAATAGAGTTTTAGATATAGGTCAGACATATATCTCTTCATTGTAACTATATCATAGATGCTCACAAACTTAAATAATGTGGATTGATGTAGCAGTCATCAACATACTAAGGTCACAGAGGTTTTTTTCTTCTTTCCCTTACTTTCACAGAGATTTGTTCTTTGCATAATAGGAAAGCTTGGAAAGTAGAAGAGAAATTCTTAAACTGACATGATTCATTTTATTATATCAAAGAATGATCTCTTCTCTCTCAGTCTCCAGGGTATAGTGCTGAAATGAAGACAGAATCTCTACATGCCTATGAGTTTCCCAATGGTTCTAAATGGAAAGAGCTTATAAGCCAGGGGCTCTTTAAAGTTGAATGAAAATGTTGTAGAATATTATGTCTAAAAATATTCTATGGGAGGAGAAAATTAATTTTATTACACATCACTCCAAAGCAATGATCATGTTAACATTCACTCTGATATTTAACTTTTGATCCTTGCAGACATATTTCTCCCCTCAAGTCCAAAACATTCATTGACCCTTTACCTCCCAGATCAAATTTGTCATTCTCCTTACTGTCAACCATACAATTCTTATAACGTTAGTTCAGAGAATTTAGTATTGGATCAACTGATTATCCTCTAATTACTATTTTTCTTTATTCTCTTCACTTGTCTGCTTAGTATGGCATTGACACTGTTAGGAGAAATTCTCTCTTGGTCACTCATGGGAGTTAAAGGGTTTATGGATAAACCCAAAACTGACATTAAGAATTAACCTTCTAACTCCTAAGAGTGACCAGCTTCTACATTCACCTTACAATATTATCCTTAAATCAAACATTAGGGTCATGAGTATAGAGGAAATGATCATCAAATAAAGCAGCTCTTGATCATTAAATAAATTCTCTTTGTCAGAACTTTGAGAAATGTATAGTGAATAGTGTGGAGATTATGTATACTGATGTTAGGGGGTAAAGGGTTAATAGAAGGGTTTTTAATTTAAAAAAATTTAAGAGCAATGAAATAAACATGATCAGTAAATGTGAATGTTAATTAGCTAGAAGCAAATTGGCATTTGAAAAGAAAAAATGTACAATTAGGAACTTCAAGGGTCAGCAAAATCCAGAACTAATGGAAAAATTTTTTTTTGGCCTAGTGTGGAGTATGTAAAGAATGATTTTAAATAAAGTTGCAGGCCTTAATTATTACAAAATGTTATTTATTACTTTTGTGATTTACTCTCTCTGTTTCATGGACACCTGTAGAATATGAACTGTTAAATTAATTTCACTTTTTTGTTATTATTTGTTTTCTTTTTGCTAATAATGAAAGAAGAAATGTGGTATTGACGATTAGTATGAAATGTTTATTGATGTAAATTATTTATGTTGCAAGGATGACAAAGTTAATTGTGGTTTTTAAAGCAAGAGTGTTGCTTTCATTGAAACTTTAGGGGCTCGGCAAATGCCAACTTCAACCTTAGCACTTCTATTATTAATTGACCCTTTTAAATACGGTAACTTAGGGGAAATGAAATTCTTTGACACAATTAAGTGAGACAGACAACAATTAAAAAAGCAGATTTGATGATAGCAAGCCTCATGAGAACCCTTAACAACTATCTTTTTAATGGTTATTTTTTAAAGCTTTACCTGCAACATACAGGTAACACATTAAGACCAACTCATTTTGTGAAAAACACATCTTAATCACAGCACTTCATATGGAAACAGAATTGGCCTAAGGGTTGATTTTAGGTGCATTTATAGTATTATCATAATATTGACTGTGTAGCTCATGCTGTCTTTTGACTCAGAAGAGGGAGGGAAGAAGAGTTTGAGCTTCAAAGTGGGCGTTTGAAACATACAGCTGTGGTGCTGCAAGACTCAATTGATTCTCCTTTAGGCCATCCTATGCTTCTTCTAATCACGCGAGACATCCTTTCCCCCCCTCCCCTTCAAGCACTAAGACCGATTGGGAATGCTTCGTTTTCATTTCTATGTGGAACCAATTTTCTGAAATTTACTCTGCAACCTAGATTTTACACAGGTTTTGCAAACTGCGACACCTAGGTTGTTCTTTGGTTGTTGATGCTGCAGTTGTTGTAATCATCTTGGAGGAGGAGCCAGATTACCTTTGTGGAGGAAAAAAATCGCAGATCAAGCGAGACATTTTTCAACTTTCGTCGATTTTATTGTTTCTGAGAAACGGTAAAATACAGTTTAACTTGCAAGTGACACTTTTCTGGCTGAAACCTTCTTCAAAGCTTTCAGATGTCAATGTCATGCGTTAAAGCTTTTTAAAGATCTTGAAGCCAGTGGTTCGATTTTCAGTGGCGCACGAGCTTTTGCTGTTCGAGCTGCAGCTACGAGGATAAAAATAGCTGCTGTAGTAATACAACCAGGCGCTGTTATAGGCGTACGGGTATTTGAAGGCTACCACATCACCGTACTGCACAGGGGTACCATCAGTGGCGTACTTGGAAAAGATCTGGAACGTTATGTAGTTATAGTAGAACCAGTTGTTTCCCGTCAATGAGCTGACTGTCCTGTGGGAAAAAAGGATTTTTCATAAGCTCTTCTCTTAATGACAACGCCTTTATTAAGTTTACCTCCCTTCACATAAACACAAATAGAAACTTGCATTTCCCAATTGTTTAATTAAGGATAACTGCCATAGTAAATATGTTGTCAGCCTCAGTGTATAAATAGAGATGGCAACTTTTGTGGAAAAGTTTGACCATCAGTGAAATAGAGGCATTGACGTACATACCAAGTGTCATGCAGCCCTAACAAACATGATTTTTGTCTGCTGTTTCTCTCTTTTTAATAGTTAAGCAACTTCTGCTATCAGATTAATTATGAAAAATTAATACAGACTAATAAGAAGCAAACAACACTCACGAAATCATGTAGCATTTAGTGCTGGTTGATGTACCACAGTACAGCCGGTATCTGCTTCCATAGGCTTGGCTACTAAGCGACACTACGTCACCGCTGTTAATCGGCTGGCCGTTCATCTTCCCCATGGCGTGAATGTAATAAAACATGTAGCTTGAGCAAGACGACCAGGCTGATGAGGTCATCACCTGACCAGGGCAGGTATACCAACGACAATATGACGATTTACAGCGCATCCAGTAGTTAACATAGCTACCAGAAGTGTAGGCTGACCGCAAAGCGATCCGATCACCACTATTAATGATGGGATATCGGTGACCTACGATGTAAGAATACTTGTAAAAAATTAACAGACAGATTTCTTCACAAGTAGTTTTAGTTTGTATTTGGTAAAAAATTGAACAGAGGAAAATCTGAAAAATTGAATTATTTCTAAATTTTTGCAAAGGATTGCGTCGGCCTCACCAGAATTGCCTTTCAATAAAATTGGCAAATGCATTTCCTACTTGCGCGCCCTCAAAACCGGCCTCTTAGTTTCACGGTGCAGGCAACTTTTGGAACGTTCACAGTGATCAGACTAATTAAGCAGTAATTCCGACACATGAAATATGATTCCAGTTTTTACCGTTAGATAAACCAGCCCAAATTGCTTCTCTAGGACCGTAAAACTGAATGTGAGCGTTACCATTGAGCGTCAGTTGGCTACTGGAAAGGCTGACGGACGCGGAATTCACGCCGAGGGCGAAAACGAGCGCAAAGAGGACTGCCACGGTGAGAGGCTTCATGTTCGTGGATAAATCTCGCGGAGGAAGGGCTTCGTTCTTGTTGGGAACTCTTTTCTCTCTAGAAGTAGAATACCAAATGACTATGAGAGTTCAAACAGTCGCTTTTATCATACGAGGTTCTTTATTACCATTGCTGAGATGAAACAAGTTTTTGCTGAGTACTCAAACATGTTTCGCTATTTTCAGCAATGTAAACTGAGCTTTTATGAAAGCTGTTTCCAGCGGGGAAACAAAGTCAGTAAAATAATGACAGTCATGTCAGCTAATTAAGTCGGTTGCTGTCTTTTCTTTGTCCGTGGCTCTTTTGGACAGGACAGAAGCAGCACCGAATCTTCCGTATACCGACAACACTTTTACTTTCAGTTTTTTCGGTAAACTTCAGCGTGAGATAACATTAAAACTCTGTTTTAGCAACAAAACCTTGTCTCTCGAAAAGATCCTTTACTTACATTGAAGTATTGTTATTTTCTTGTTTTAGATATTCCAGACTGAAGGTCAATTTTTGCAGTTGATTGATTTATTTATTTATTTTTACATAGCAGCAAAAGTTTTTCACGTTAGGAACTGTTTTTGAAATGTAAATTAAGTGCTACTTGCTGGATGCTAAGGTGAAAATTAGAGTTTTAAAGCCTTCTGAAAAGTGTTTCAAAAATCGCTCAAAACATTCATTTTTACTTGAAAAAAAGTTAATTTCGGGGTAAAATGAAACACTGATATTCCTGCACCTTCACGGCAAACATCGCATGTTGAAACGATGGTGCAAAGTGTTTGTTTACGTAGTTGTGTAATGAGTCACTAGTAAGCTTTTTCTGTAGTATAGAGAATAGAAATTGCCATAGCTAAAATATATAAGTGACCAAAAATTATATTTTCCTCATCATTACTGCATTTGAAAACTGTTTAAATTTTTCGAAAATCTGACATTAATTCGAGTTTTAATCAGCGAACGTGTTTTGACTTTATAAATAGCTATTGTCCGGCATTGAAGAATCAAAACCGTGACAGCGACACAAACAACGTACCTCAAAGAAAAAAGGTTGTCACACGCTGACATTCACCTTGTTCACTTAAACAAACACTGAAAAAAATACTCCGTAAAATGTTTACTTCCCGCCAGTCGCTCATTCCACATGCGTATCATGATTTTCCAACAAAACTATTGACTTACACTGCTTCCTTCTTTTCATGTCTCGTGAAGTACTAAATTCCTCTCACGCGCGGTGGAGATTACTCTAACTAGACCTAGAACGATTTTTTTTTTCTAGATAGGACACTTGGCTTGACTTAACAAAAGAGTTCGATCAAAAAATGCAATCAGAGTCAGTTATTAATGAGATAGGAGCAAAACTATTGCGAATGATCTAAGAAAAGCAGCGGAAACCGCAAATGATGTGACAATTATCATTTATAGTGGCGCGATGAGAAAAAAGGCATGACAGTCAGTGAAATCGTAAGTGGAAAGCGAAGCCCAAGTCAGTAATATTCGGGAAATGTTGCTGGATTGAATTCACTCCTCTTCGATGATCTGTTGATCCGCTGCAAGACGTACACTATTCAGTGACATGTCCTTACCCAAATCTCCTATAACGAAGGAAATTAGTGAAAGTAAAATTTCATTTTTGCTGGTATTTGCAAGTGTGAGATGTACCCAACACTCTGCTCAACTGTTATAGCCTCTGGTGAAGTTTCCTTTCAAGACCGATTTAGTCATTCTTTGGGAACCATTTTCTCCCTCAATGGCTCTCCCAGAAACACGAATGAAAAATCTCGCGTCAAACTTCAAGCCTTTACCTGGATTGAATTTCATAGGCGTTAACAAATTATATCAAAATATTGTATTCTGGTTTCATAAGCAATACTTAGTCTCCTGTACTACATGCTAAAAATGCGACATCAGTTTGAGTTCACCTAGAACTGGTGAAACTAGTTCTCTTCGAAGTTTTAAGAAGAGGAAACTGAACATGCAAGAGGTAAAATGTATAATTTTGGAAAGGTGTTGTGTAATGCGTACAAACTTATGCAAAGACTTGGGGTTAAAAAGCCGAATGAAATTCATCAAAATAACTTTCCTCGGCAATATTTTGTTGTCGTGTACGAAACACCCAATTGTGATGTTTTTTTCTTTTTAGTGAAAATACAGTCTCAGAGCAAAAAACGAAATCGAATGGAAACCTTTTAATCCTTGTACTGAAGAGTATTTTGTGCCATAACGCCTAAACAGGAGACAAATCCATTGATATTTAAGCCTCGATGTCCTTGCTTGAGGAATTTGTCATTGCTTTACGTATCAGTCCGAAAACTGCAACACCATTGCAACTTAAGAAATTTTTTCCTTGTGATTATTGGACTGGTAATCTACATGCCCACGGAATCATGAGAGAAAGCCGACAAGTGAGGACGCTAAGGCGAGACAAACAGTTTAGTTAGGGGAGTGGGGAAGGGACGATATGGTTGTGACATAAGGAGGTGAAGAACAATTCTCGTCCCCAGAGGCTCTAGATCAGTACCCAAGCCTCTTCGCCTATTAAAAATTTTTAGTGTAGAGATTCCTATTTCAGCGTTACTGTTGCAAACAAAGAGAAAAACAAGTTTATTGAGGGACTGATTCATGTCTTAATGTGCACATACAGAAACCATCATGTTTCTTTTTTCTTCAGTATTGCTCTGTTAGAGGATATAAAAATGGGGCTTTATATGGAGTCTGTTACACAAAGAGCTAATCCCACTTGAATGACAGTCCCTTCATAGGACGTTCTGTAGTCAATGATGTTCAGATTTTCTGTCGGCTAATGGAAATTTGATTTCATGATTATTTCTTCTCTCTTCTTCTTCTTTCTTTTTATAGCTTCTTTGACATCCTCTGCCTTGAAGCCCAATTGATTGTCCTGAGAATTTAACTTGGTGCTTTTCGACAAGACGTGCTTGGGTTCAAGGTCGTTCATTTCTCTGTTTACTTGCGCCTTCTCCCTCTTCCTTGTCATGAACAAGTCGAACTCCAGACTACTAAGCCGTGTGAACTTCTGTCTGGGAATAGCGTCAATCTCTGCTAAGCTTAGACTGGCAAGTTGCTCGTGACATAATTTGTAGTTCTCATGAGGAGGGTCGTCATAGGTTACGCAAACCCCTCCGGGCTGTCTGGACAGATCCATCAAGTTCAGAGGCCTGAGCCGGGGGGACACTCCGTAGAGATAAATGGTCCCTGGAAAGTAAGCATTTTTGTATCGGGTTCCCTTCTTCTGCCAATCAGACCAGAGTTTGTCGGTGAATGCGTGGTGCAAGAGGAATTCTGGGGCATTGGCTGACTGCCTGCTGCACATGGTCCCGCCTCTCCCACCAATCCTACAATGCATGTTGTTGTGCAAGGTGTCCCGGAGTGTCATTTCGAAGTCGGTGAACTTGTTGGAGAGGATGCGCAGGCATTTATGAACTGCTATGCAGTCTGGGGGATTACCTGTTGAGTTATAAGATACTTGTAACCTCTGAACACGCTTTGCTTTTTGAAGATTTCTGTGACGCGATTAAGAAAAAAACCAAAAAGTTGCGCAGCTAGTGTCGTTATTTATACCACGATTTTTTTCAATAGAAAAGCGGCAACTTTTCAGTTCTAGATACAATTTAGCCCGGGCTAAAAGAACCCAACACACTCTTCTTTCCAACAAACATTTTGAGTTTTTGTATTGCGTCTTTTAACAACTTCAGAAACATCTATAATCCATAAACTTTCTGAGGAGAAATTTTAGCTGACAAAAGCATTAAAAATTACCATTGAAATTTCTCTTGAGGCATCCTCCGCTTGTCAGCGTAAAATGCCGTTTTCCAAAGGGTCCGCTGTACACACAACCATCTCTTCCACCATTGCTTCCTAAGCCCCATGGTGCATTGCTCCACGTGCTCATAACCTGGAAATTGGTAATTGTGTCATCAAAACGAAAAGAGTTAGGAAAACAAGATTTTCCAAGGCTCGAAAAATTAGAGTTATGTAGTGTTGTTATGCAGTTTTGCTAAGTTACCAACTCGAGAAAGCAATGAAAGAAGTGTCCTAATCGAGAAATTGAATCCTCTTCAGTGCAGTTTTCCCCAAGAGTGTAAAAACAGGAAAGCGAAAACCTGCAAGGTTCTAGGAAAGGGCGACACTGCTCGCCTTATTCCCCTCTCGTTCCTTCCTCCACTTACCACGATTTTACGTTCACCATTACAAGCTTTGTGGCCGCGGCAAAGAGTGATTATAAAACGTAAAAAGCGAATTCCGACTGAAGTTTTGTAGAACTATATCGGAAGATTATCACTATACTTAGTCAGAGGGAGGCAACTGGGACCAATGGGACTCAAAGTAGACACATGAAATATATAAAGCGCGTGAAAAGGATAGCAATCAATGGTCAATTAGTTTTGTTTGCGACTGATCAGTTGAGAGCGTGGCGTGAGTTTCTTGCTAAATCGCAGGGGCAAAGTAGTAAATTGATGATTGCTGTCTGACTTTTTCCAGATATTTCATCAGAGAATCACTGATAGGTACCTTATCCAACCAGGGTGCCCCGGACCATAGACTCCAGTCCCAATAGGGCACCGTCACGATTGGGTCCACTTTACGCAGAATGTTCTCCATCTGCAACAAATACCAGCGATGCCAAGGGAGGAACTGCCTGTTGTTATGAATATTACTGAACTGTTTAGTGTGTCTGATGACAAGGTTTCGATAATCAGATCTTGTTGATGCCTTTTTTAGTGTGCTTATGAAACGGTACCTAGCGGAAGGAGAAGAAATAAAGATCAGTGTTTCTTAGATTGAGAATTGTGAGTTCTGACTAATAGCAGAGACAGTGCGCAGCAGAATTAATCGAAATAGGAGATTAGAGATGAAAAATGGCACAAATGGTTTTAGGAGTCTTTTTTAAAGGCTCTCTTGTGAAAACTATAGGAAATACCGACGCATACCAATAGTTTCTTTTTAAGCCAGTAACTCTGTTTTGATACTGCTTTTGATAAAGGAAAACCCAATTAGCTAGAAGGATTTCTAAGCTTCAATTCATTTTTCTTTTTATGGGTCACATCATACTCCAATGGCGTCTTCCAGTTGCGATTATGTTTAAATTCTTCTTCTCGTGTATGTTAACGAGAGAAAATATTCCTGAGGTTATGTGGGAAGGGAGTAGGGACCATTTAAAGGTCAAAAGATAACAGAGAGGCTAAGGGAAGAGAGGAGTTTTCTCACACTGTAAATGAACAGTGACATCTACCCACCTTTCTCCAGGAAGCATTCCGTTCCATTCTCGCCGCACGCGGCAAGGCGCACTCCATTTCCCGCCATGACAAGTGCGACGCTGACCAAGATGGTCGTGTTTTACAGAGCCTTCCTTGCAACTTTGCGCCGACGTTCCTGCGTAAAACAACACACGAACTAATTTTTAGTTGCCGGACAATATAGTCATTTGAAGACTGACTGAGTTTGCGATTTTCGTATCCTAGGGAGGTCGCCAGGCAATTGAACGGAACATGCCAACGTCATAAACAATTATCTGGGCAAAGGAGATAAGGGTCCAAGGATTCTGAGGTTAGGATAGAGTATTTCTCGGAGTGCTAGCAACAATGTCGGAAATTTTTCATGTTTTGACGAAACGTGACCGAAGAGGTACTCTTTCAGTGGAGTGGGAGTTAGAAGGCGTTGCCGAGTGGTTTGGGGCTTTGGATCCAATCAATATTTTTAAATCGCCTGGAACAGATACACGAACGCTAAAAGGTATCAAGGCTGTTCTTCTCATTTTATTATGATTCAAAGATGTAAGGAATACGATTCAGACATGAGAAACAAATGTATAACCAATACAATAATTTCTTACCTTTTATCACCAAAAATAATATTACTAGGATCTTCATCTTTTCCATCTGTGTAAAGAAGGTATGTAATGACGTATTCACAGTGTGAATCATGAAAACGAAAGGACAAATTCCTTTCCAGATCGTCCAGAAGTAAGAATGCCCGAGTAGTTTTATATTTACAAATTAAAATTCCGAAGAGAACCTTTCATGTCTATGCGTCATCTGATTTATTTCCCTTACTCCCAGAAATAACTAACATTTAACTTCTCTGTCAATTTCAGTTTATTATCCAGTGGGTAGGTGAGGAGAATAGACAAACTCATCAGCTTGAGGGTGTAACCTTAATATAACATTAAATTATCTTAAATAATTTACAGGGTAACGCGTAGTAACCAGACGAGAGAGTGAATACGTAATAATATTTTTGGAGTTGAATTGTTAAGTGCCAAAATAATTTGAGACTACAGTATGAAAAATTAAGCCACCTTGTCGAAATCGTCACGGTGTTTAGTAAATTACGAAGTTGCATTTGATAAATATCTATCTTTTCTCGTATTTTCATCATAAGTTTGTACAAAGAAGAGTGAAACTAATATAATTGTCAGAATCAGAACCTTGACCAGCACTGCAACAGTTATCTTATTACGTTAAAATGCACAGGAATCGCTGCGGAAGAGATGAAGAGGTCTTTCAACTCTTCTAAGATGCTGTTAAGGAATGTTCGATGTTCAGTCGTGTTTGCATTTCCAAAAACATTGTAGTTCGTATTTCTTCGTCTTAGACTCGCCAAAAATTTCACAATTTTCTTTCCGAGCAACTCAATGTTGTTTCAGTACTTACACAGCCTGCTTTCCTACAGTCTCCCTGAAAATCGATTGACTCCAAATCTACTAAGGAATTTATGAATACTTTTTCTCTTTCATTATGATGAATATATTTAAATTCCCCGACAACTGTTTGCAATATTAACCGTGAGCTTTAACCTCATGCATTGTAAGTTTGATAGCTATGTCAATAGAGTTTGATCTGGATAAATGTTCTGTGCATTACAGAAATACGTTCCGTCAATCATGTGGCCTTTTCATTTTCTACTCGTGCAATCTTGTAAGCCTATTTTTGATCGCGGGTTGTACAACCAGAACTGGCTAAAGAAATAACTACGGCTAATCGAAACGAAGGGAAACATCTTGATGAGAACTCAAGCCAAACAATTAACAAAATTCCTGAAGTGCGAGAAAATGCGAATGAATAAGTTCGCAATTGGTTTCAGTTTTTCAACTGATTGGTTGAAAGGGTGACCGCTGTTTTCTGGACCAATCACAAAGCGAGGTAAAGCAAATCCAATGCAGTCCTAGATCACCATCAACGCTCAATAGAAAATTATAAATTGCTCTTATCGACATAATCATCTTTAGACCAATTTTTAATTGAGTGTCGAAAGTAATCCGGCCGGATTGTTTTAGTGTTACCGAACGTTGTTTTGTGATTGGTCCAGGAAACTCGCGCCATCCTCTCAACCAATCAGATGCAAAAGCTAAAATACAATCGCGACTGGGTCGCCGCGTTTTCCCGCGCTCCAAGCAGTCTACTAGTTTTCATTTTGAGTTCTCATTGGCTAATGATAATGTGAGTCTTTATTCTGATTGGTCATTAGGATAACTCAGGTTTTGTTTTCTAACACACAATTGAAAACTGCTCTCATTATTATTCTATGAACGCAATTAGTCTCAAAAATTAACAGTAAAATAATTTTTAATTCAAATCTTCCAAACAAGTACCTTTTAAAAAAATCTGCGATAAAAATACAAAAACTTTTACGTACACCAACCGAGTTTGTGGTCGTCGGTTAATGAGTTCAAATACCATGGCCTGTGCACAACTCAAAACTCAAGAGGACTTGCATTATACTTTGGATAATGTTTTAGTAAAAGCATGGTATTAGGGTATACATTGTGAGAATGAGGTAATTATTTTCCGTTGATTATTTGCCTGGGGGAAGGGCTAAAGAGGTCTTTTCTGGGGGGGGGGGGTCGCATGGTTATCACGGCGAACTGAGGGGTGAATCAGTCGTTGCCAACATGCAGAGTATAAAGGGGAGACTGTAGAAAATGAGTGCTGGAGAGATGGAATCACTGGAATACTACAGAGCCCGGGGAAGGGGGGGACCCCCTCCTCCCAGATGTTAAATAAATACTGGTCCCTAATATACCAAGACAACGTTAATGCTTGAATATCACGCATATCTATAGGTTAGTTAATTTTCTTAACGTAATTGAAAAGGAACATAGAAATGGTTCACTTTTGTTTCCTTTTGGTAACAGAGACTGAATAATTTTATTTATGTCCAGATCGTTTGTGCAAATCCGAAAAATCTTTGTCTACTACAGAAGATACGATTGATCAATCGAGATATTGGTCCTGAGAGATGAAAAAGATTCAGGATAACTACTGCCAGCCGGAACATAAAGCCAGCGGTGTTTGAAAAGATAACAAACGCATGCGCCTTAACAAGCGTCGTTCACGCGCGCAACTTTTGTCTTCGGCGTCTGTAGTAACGAAGGACGGTTACTTTTAATTGAAGATAATCACCAAAATTCTAGTTTTGCTAATTTTAAATCCGGGATATTGAAAATCTCGCGAAAAAATTTGTTTTTGTGAAGAGTTTTAAGGGAATTTTAAGGAGTTCCCTCGAATTAAGGCGAAGTTTCGAAGATCACCACTGCAACGTTGGATTTAAGACTCGATCGAGATAATTGTGACGGAAAATCGAACGCTGTGCATCAATCAATGGAACGATTTGGAGGGTCACTCCCTGTAAAAGGATACAGCGGTGAATTGGCTGGGAAAAAACGAGTGCAGCTTCCAGCAGATCATGGAAAAGGTTTGTTATTTTGTGTTTATGTTTAAGTGTCAAACTCCAGGTGTGTTGTTTCAATGTGATTTGTACGTGCGTGAAATAATTTTGCGCGCTCTACTGGAGCGTTAAAATGACCTCTCTAAATTTATGGATCGTCTAAAAAAACCAATTTGTGACAAAGTTTTTCTTGTCTAGAAAAAGAAGCACGTGTTATCGGTATGTATGTGGTCGTGCGTGTTTCTTTACGAATGAATTGAACTGTTTGTCAACCACAGCCTACAAACGCTTGACAACATTCAATTAAAGTACAGAAGCTTTCCGCTAAGCCTAATTGATTGAAATGGAAAACAATAATTTGGTATCATAAGCTTTCACGCGCGAACATTTATAATTCATATCAGCTTCGAGTTAAAAAAATTTCTTTAAACTTAACTTACCGCCTATCAAATGGAATCGGGAAGAATTTTATCTTGAAGAAGCTTGAATAGCGAAGTAACATACTTGATCCTATTTAAGAAAATCATCCAAAGAAAACAAAAAGCTAAGATTGTGATAGATTAGAAATCAGTGAACACATTTCCCATTCGTTTGTGTTCTATATCGTTTTTAAAGAATATCATATCTTATAATGTCACTATCAAAAATTCTACCCAATACACAATTGTATCTACATACAGGTTACACCTCTTACGACTCCAGTAATTTGTTTCACAGCACCCCCAAAATAAAGGTAAATGTTTCTTTCTCAGCAAAGCGACAACAGTATGGCAAACCTGGGCGCCTGTATCTTATTAGTTAGTTCATCTTCACAGTTATTTTATTCCTTCTTTCTTAACCCTTTCACCTCCAAGATTTCATTAGTAATTCTCCTTCCTGTCTGCCATACAATTCTTATGATATTACTTCAGAGAATTTGGTGTTGGATCAACTAAAATCTCCTTTTTTGTAATTTTTGTTTTATTTTCCTTACTTGTCTACTTGATATTGTAGGAAAAAATTTTGTCTTGCTTAAAAGTAGTGTTTGACCACAAGTTTACATTCAGATCAGTGGTTCCCTTGTAACATAATGGTGCTGATGTTTACCTTTTGGCAAAAATTTTGCATTTTAATGGTTAGAGAGTAACCCAGTTGTATGTCTAGTTCATCAAACCTTTAACTCCCAAGTTCAACTTTAAAATTCTCTCATTCTCAGCAGCCATGTTTCAGTGTTATTAGTGAAGAAAGTTTGTTGCATGATCAAGATAATACCTCATAAGTGGACAAGTTGTTAATTCTTGTCACTTCTCTGCTAAATAAAATATTGATTAATACTATATGCTAATCAAGAATTTTAGTAAAAGAGTTGGTGAATTGACCACTTTATAAACATCCTTTACTAACTATATCTAATGCACTATATTTCAATGTTAGCTGATTATATATGGACAGGGTCTATTCATACTTTTTAAAATAGAATTGTGTTTCCTGTAAAAAAGCCTTGTATATTTTTATTTTTATTTATCACTGAACTCCACATTGCGATCTTCAGCCCATATCTTCATCATATTCAACAACATTACCAAGTGGTTACAAGACCAGAACAACCAATACAAGCTTTCAGACAGGTGTAAGCCCATCTCGGTCACAGCGCAGTAAATCTCCAACACGTAGCACAAGTCCTGGCCGTCGACCAGTGAGTCCAAATTTGCATACAACAACAAGTCCAAGACTACACAACAGATCTCTGTCTCCTAATAGTAAACAGGTCAGTAAAGCCAAGTTTCCTAACAGTCAGTTTAGATCTTCAGCTATTTAAGATTAATAAACAGTGCTGAAACAATTCAATCAGACTTCATGTAGTTATATCAGGTTACATGTGTTAGTAAGTAGGGTCAAGAGAAAATTGTCTCCATGTCCAAAATGCTAATTGTTAGGAGAGGCTGTCAAGGGCAATGTTTGCTAGTGTAGGTGATGTGACAAGGAAACTTGCCAACAAAATTATAGATTATAGTGGTTAGGAAATTTCTAATCCTGCAAGCATTTCCTCACAAGAGTTGATGAAAAGGTTTTATCATATTTATTATTCCATTTACACATACTAAGCTTTTGATTTTGCCAAAACTAATAAATTCAGGAGATGTTGCACATAGGAACTTAGCAATGGTCTTCATAATCTCACTGCTGAGGTCTCTGTGGCTCAGTTGTAAAGCATCAGAGCTTGAAATTAGGTGTTGAAGACTCAGATTTTCTTTTTCCCATGTTAGTAATATAAGCAATAACATCTTTCTTTAAGTTTTCTGCTAACAAGGGAATAGCTTTTAAAACAATTTTGTTTTATTCTAACATGATGACCATTTTTGTTTTAGCTCTCTGACGTAGATAGTGACACAATACAAAGGCAGAGACGAGAACTTCAGCTGCTTATTGGGGAACTCAAAGATAGAGACAGGTATTTGCATGAAAGTAGAAAAACAAAAAAACAAACCAAAAAAACCCACCCCAAAACTCCTTTTTAGCCCTAAACAGTCTTGGTTAATTCAACTTAAACAATTTTAGAACAGACATTTTGCAACATGAATTAGTTTGAATAGTACGATTTTGGTATTATAAACTGAAGAACTCAGAAGAAACACAAAAATAGACATCAAAAGACCAGATGACATTTCACCAAAAAAAGCAGCAGAAAGGGAAAGAATAGGAGAAAAAAATTGCTGCACCTTACCACAGAGGTCCATGGCAACTGTAGATCCTGCACAGCTATAATACAAATACTGTTAATCCCATCAAGTAAATCCTTCAAATTTTTCAGCCTCTGATCAGCAGGATTTACTTTAGTCCTAAATTTGCTTTGCACTCTTGAGCACTCTGTTACTGCAGAAACTTGTGCACTGTGTCATGTGCCCTCTCAAATTTTTTTCCTATTTGTTCTGTAAAACTAGAGAATTGAATGATATGGTACAAGCTCATCAAAAACAGATAGTGGCTTGGGAGGAGGACAGACAAAGGGTGAGGGTGCTTAAGATTTTATTTGTCTTTATTTTTTCTACTTGTTCTGTAAAACTAGAGAATTGAATGATATGGTACAAGCTCATCAAAAACAAATAGTGGCTTGGGAGGAGGACAGACAAAGGGTGAGGGTGCTTAAGATTTTATTTGTCCTTAGTGGTTTTCAATTTTAAAGAAAAAACAGCTTTGCAACGGTTGTGACAGTTGGCATCACATTAAGTGCATTGATATGGATGTCGAGACTTATGTCGCTCTGAGTTACTCTCAAGATCAATGGTTTTGTAAAGCCAACAATTGTAACTGGCCTTTTGATTTCTCCGACTCGTCTTTCGAGTCTTCGTTCTCTTTGGATATGGTTCAGATTTCAACACCTGCTCATAATGATTCAAGTGTCACCCCTACTCTGCGGCATAACGATCAACTGGAGAATCAAAGGAATATCTGTAATGATATCCTGTTATGTCACTTGAATATAAACAGCATACAAAACAAATTTGAGGAGCTTGTCGCTTTAATCAGGAAACTAAAAATTCATATAATATTTATCAGCGAAACAAAAATTGATTCCACATATCCTGATAGCCAATTTGCCATTCCTGGCTATACATTATACCGTAATGACAGAAAAAAAAAGGAGGTGGAGGCATCCTGGTTTATATATCCACACTACTGCCTTGTAGAAGGCTTAAGATTACCAGGACCTATAAGACACTGGAACCCCTCGCAGTTGAGATTAGGCTTGGCACATTTGAAATGGTTGTTATCGGCGTCTACCGTCCACCCAAATCAGTATCTGGTGATTATCAACTACAACTGGAAGGGGAACTTAATGCACCTGGGCCTCTTTATGGAGAAACTTTGTCACTGTCATTGGCGATATTAATCTTGATAGACTTAGACCAGATAAAAGTGAAGGGAAATTACTCTTAGATTTGGAAGTGGAACAAGAACTCACATGTCTTATTGATAAACCAACACGCACGGAGAAGAAAGGTCTATGTCACACCTCTACCCTCATTGATGTGTTGTTGACAAATAAACCAGAGCGATTTAAGTGAATACAAGTTCATAGCTATGGGTTGATCAACTCCAAGCTTCAACATCCCCCATATATTAGCTTATTGATACCAAAATTTGGAACAATTTGTAATTAACATACCATCAGTAATTGTTTTAAAAAGGAACATTTGAAGTTTGAGAGCACTGATATATTCCATTTCTGTTGACATCCCACTGCATTTAGGTGTTTGCTCTTGAGAAGCGATCTTCCAGGCTTGAAAGTAAGTGAGGTTTTATGTTCTTGAAATACTGTAAGTTACAATGCACTGTACTGTAAAATCATGAATTTCTAAGAAAGTGGAGTTGATAAAGTTTTCTACACTTACAGGTGAACTCAAAAGTAGAAATGAACAAATGAAGGCATTACAAGCAAGGTATTGTTTATTATTATTAATATAGATACTGATGAAATACCAGGATTTTTCCTTTTACTAAAAAATCATATCTTCATTGCGCGCAGTGAAGATACTATTTTTATCTTTGAAGTGTGAGGATACTGGTGTCGCCATGGTTACTAACATGATTAGCCAATTACAAGAGAGCTTCCCACTCAGGCGCACAGCTGGTTCTTTTGGAATTTCATCAGTATAAATGAAATAAACAGAACATTACACGGCTGCTTGGGGATATGAATTTTATTTTTGAGTGTCTCTTACGAGTGAGCGAAGTGAACTAGTGAGAGATACTTTCAGCACACGAAGATAAAATTCGTATCCCTGCTGCGCACCATGTAATATCCTCTATTAGACAGATATCAATTAAAAATAACTTTGTTTCACACATAGTTTTTTATGTTAGAAGTGTAATGTTACTAATTAAAAATGAATAGAAGACATACAAACAGTAACTTCTTCTTGTTGACATGCAGGTCTATAGTTTCTCAATAAGTAAAGATCACTTTTTAATCACGGTGTAATGACATTAGAAAAAAAAAAACTATGCGCCACTTTCTGATTGAGATTGAGGTCCAACAATTGCAAGTTGTAATTCAAGTTATTTTAAGGAATTGATGTATTGCTCACTCCAAGGAGTGAAAGGGTAAAAGTAAAATTAAATTTTTACTTTGAAGTTAAATTGAATCAGTTTGTAGATGTCACTGATAGGAATCCTTGTTGTGATTTTGCTTTGCAGGCTTAAAGCTTCTGAAACAGAGGAAAAGAACAAAGGCAAAGAACTTGAAGATACTCAGGTAGTTATTCATGCCCTTAGTACTGTTGGATGAAAGATGCCTTGATCTAAGGCCTTGCATTATGTCCAACTGGCCCTTTCTGGTGCCACTGAAAGGGCTATGTTGGATAGTGGAATGCTTGAAAACACCTTCTACAAAACTGCTCAGGATTGCCCTCAGAAGTGAAGATTCAACTTAGAGATAAAATGGCCTTTTTCCATGATAGCCTGCACCTGTGAGATTGGCAGACTAATCTGACTGGAAGAGCCCACTAGACTACTGGCTGTTGACTCAATCAAATGTGTTGCAGTTGTGTGTGAAACATGCAAAACCAGTTGTGTTAAAGTTTACAACATGCCCAAGTTTGTTTAGCTTGTAATTTGTGTCGCAAAATTACCATACTTAAACTTACCATTTCTCCTTGATCTGTAGCTTCAACTTCAACAAGTTTCAGAACATGCGAATACTTCTCTTCATCAAGTTCAGGAACTTGAAGTATGTAACAACCTTGTCAATACACAATGTATGACTGATAGCATTTATTACCCTTGAATCATTTTATAAACCCTAGCTGAGGAGACATAATACTTAGTGTGCTTAACTGTAGAGACACGGTTGTGGAATCCTATCGTAAACAAATGTTGTTATTGTTGCTTCGTTATCAGGAAAAGAACAGTGCTTTAACTTCATCAATGAGAGAGTTATCAAATACAATAGGACAGCTTCAAGCCAGAGAACAGGAGCTTTTAACAAAACTTAAACTGAAGGTATTGCAGCCTAAGTGAAACTTGAAATGAGACCACATTCTCTCTTTTAGTTTACCAGGAAATCTATAGCATCCAAAAGGAGAAATTTACATCTGTAAATCACGTTTTCTTACACCAACAGATTGTGACGAAAGTGATTTTTAAATGTTGGTGTCTTCATTCTTTCTTCAACCTACTGGTCTGCATAAGTGCTTAAAATGCTTGTTTGTCAGAAGCATTTTGTGGTGTGGATTTGCACCATAGCTTAGGATTATCTCTCATGTTGTCCTGGACAATTAATAACATTTCATTACTTGCCTAAGACATATATTTGTTGATTGTGTTTTCACCTAGGACAATGACATAATGGAGGCAAATGTGAGCTTAGGAGAACTGCAACAAAAGATAAAACGTCTTGAAGGATTATGTCAGGTCAGTATTGGCAAAATAAATGCAGTCGAACCTCTCCACCATGGCTGCCTTGGGGAAGAAATGATAACAAAAAGATTCCTTGTTACATCTTTTTCTTAGGAACTAAGGAAAAGTGAAAGTTCAATCAGGACAGAGAGAGACCAGTGGAGAGATCAAGCCACAGCTAACAAACATGAAGTAGAAAAACTGAGAGGTTGGCAGAAGGTCTTCAGTTTTAAAAGTGTATTTTGGTTTATTTTTTTGGGTTGTACTTATTTATTTGATATTTATTCATTTGTTTAACTGTTTGTTAGTTTGTCTTTCGTCTCATATACTGTATAGCTGACAGTTTGCGTTCTTGTTTGTTTTTTTTTCCAGTTGATATCAGTAAACAGTTTAGTGATGCAGACGAAGTTCAAGCTGAGCTTGCGAAGGTAAAACTGTCGCGTACCTGTCGCTGCGCAAAACAAAGTTTCATCTTATGGCATTCAGTTAGTTAGGGAAATTAGCCTGAACCTGAGGAATTTCATGGTCAGAATTTATCAGAAGTTTTTGGTAATGTCTGTTGTTTTATCTGTGTTTTTCAGACCAAGCAAGAAATTTTAGTTTTGCAGAAGGAACTTTTCTTAGCAGGTAATAAGAGACATACGAATAACATACGGATACATATGTATCTTGTACCTGACGTCAATTGCTACTCTACGATTTCTTAGGAGAAAGAGAGAAGAGGAAAGATCAACTGCTTGATTTACAAAAGTCGAAACAAGAGAGAACGGACTCAGAGTTGCAAAACCTTCGACAAGTATGTTCAATTATTGTTCTTGGAAATAAAGATAGCAAAACAGCTTATGTCGATTGATTGTAACAAACAGGAAAGTTATAAATCATGTCGTCCAGTCATAATAGAGGGAGATAGAGTAATTTTAAATGCGTTTCGATTGTCATTCGAGATTTCCTCTCCTGTTTTACTTCGCTCTGTGATGGATCTATGGAACCCGTGATACCAATGGAAAGCAAATCTTAAACCAATCGAGACTTAAGCTCTTTCTATTGCGTTTTCCCGGGCAGTTTGTTTTGTTTGTACTTTGAAACCTCATTGCTCAAAGTGCGCTTTTCGCGGGAATCCATGGGAACTTGATTAAGCGAAAAAGCACGGGAAAATATAAGGAAATATTTAGTTGCGATTGGTTTAGCTCTGACGCTGATTAGTTGAGGTGGACACGGATTTCCTTGACCAATCAAAGAGGTCAGAAACGGAAAGTATCCCGAATTACTTTGTGCGCTCATCTATGAATTACAACGATAGTCCGCTCAGTAACGGAGTTAGTATCAGAATTGAAACTCGACATTGAAATACAAAGCATCTCAAGAGTTTGGTTTTCAGTTATAATAACAAGTAATCTGACTCTGATTTACCTTGGCAGATCTGTGAGAGACAACAACGCGACATTTCTTACATGCAGCTGCAGTTACAAAGTTCTCACGATATGCTGTCCAAACATGTCACGGAACCTGAGTAAGTTGTAAACTGCTGAAGAATAGTACGTTTTTTCAAAGAGACAGAACTTGTTTTCACCCAGACTATCAGAGTACACTATCAAATACTTAGTATAGAAATTACGTTCAACACAAAAAGGTTAGCTGTTAGTTATAATCGGGAAAGGAAAGCGAATTGTTGACCAGGTGAAGTTGAGGTTGCAGAAAAAATAAACTTGGAAAAAATATGAAAATTTGCCTCGCTTTCAGCTTCTGACTTCGCAGTTCTGATGGCCGGAGCCACTAACTGGTTTTCTGCGAGGCTTGGGATCGTCACATTGTAGCCTGAGGGTTACAAAAACACAATAACGACAACAACTACAACAAGAATTCAGGCTTCAATAGGCCTTGACGTCATGCCTCCCATATTTCGACTGGGTGTCTCCGCCAACTGAGTTAATAAGCCACTTATTGGGAGTGACAGTACTTTTTATGACTGGCTCCGTCTCTTGATTTGCAGTAAAATGTCAGAGTTGGAATCTAATCCCCCGGATGAAGATAAAAAGCCTCTAAACAGCTTTTACGATGCCACGAGTTTTAACCTCAATGGAGACTATTTTGACAATCAGGTGAATTAGGACGGTTTTTTTTCGTTGGTAAAACAAACCTTAATGACAGCTATAAATTTTTTTTCCCGTAACTATCTGCATCTAACCGATTGACAAGGTGGCGCCAGTTTTTTAGACCAATCATAGGTCGAAATAAAGCAAGACAACGCGATTCTGCATAATCATTTACACTCAATTTGTAATTGCTGCATTTTGAGTTATCTCTCGTGGTGAAGAATTTGGTGCAAATTTTAGAGAAGTTTCTAGTCATTAGGATATTCCTTCTGCTTTGACTCATTCAGTTTTGCACATTTTTCTTGTGCTTAGGATCAAGCGTCCACGAGGTCAATGGACTTTGATGGTATGTCAATCTCTTACGGGGTTGTTCGAAACAGCGTTAAAATCCTCGAAATGTTCTTGTCCTTATGAGAGTAGCAGATTTTTAGGCCAGACATATTTAATAAGAGATCTAAATGTATGGCCCTAGTGAACACAATGTTTTCTAATTCGGCCAACCTTTCAGTTTCTTTGTAATTGGCACAGAAAGTACCTACTGTTAGAAATTTTGTGAGCTTATGCTCATGTCCGACTCTGGGCGTCCAAATGTTCCATGGTAGATTTTTGTGGTGAGGATCAATAACTCAAAACTGACAGAGATCTTTGTCGTGTAAGACGTGTACGTGAAGTATCCTACTTTAATTTGCAGGCCCAGTCACTTCTAAAGGCACTGATGATGACCTCGCAGCTTATATTCCAGGTGTGAAACACAGAAACAAAGTGATTGTCTGCATAGTATGAAAAAAATCTAACCGATATTGATATGAAACTAGCAAGACATTAATGATATACATTTGAATGCAAAACCAGAATACGACATACTCAACTCTCACTTTTTAACGTCAGGGTCAGTGAGATGTGAACCCTGACACACATGTACCATCTGTGTCCAAATAGCAAGCACAAGCCTGAATCCTTCGCGCAAACATTTCACAAGACAAGTTATTTAACCTTTTACAACCCAAAATCGGTCTGCATATTCTCCATACTGTTCTCTAAATATTTCCTAAGCTGCTGACAAGGAGAATTTGTCCAAGAATCAGGAGCTTTTATAGTTGCTGTTCATTTCCTTTATTCTCCTGACCTTTATGTGTCATTCGGGGGTGATATGGTAAGGAGAAATTAGTTATTTGTCACTCTTTGGGGTAAAAGGATTAAAGCTGATGCTTCACTTTGTGTTGAAAATAATGTCCAACCAAGGTACGGTTACTATTTTATATTAGGCGGTGGTGGAGTGTCCTCCCTTTCCATGCACGCGACAGCCGGAAGTGACTTGGCTGACGACTATGACAGCCTTTCGCAAGATCCACTTCAACCTCCGATCACTTCAGAAAGAGGCTTCACAAGTTCAAATGTTGACACGTTTCTTCCTCCCAGGTGAACAAACGTGCTTTTATCGGGAGTGAACTCTTTACGGGTGTCATTTCATATTTCTTAACATGACTTATTTTTTCCTATCCTATAGAAACCCCTCTTATTTCAGCACACCCAACACAAGAACCGACATTTATCCGCCATTAGGTAACCTTTCTCTCACGGGCGTTCGACTAGAGGACCACAGTAGCCTGTTATCCTTCTCGCCTGGGAGACCAGTGGAAATTAATTCCGTAACAACTACGAGACCTGGGGACACTTATTCCTCTTTCTCACCTGGTGTATCTGTACCGAAGACGTCCCCTCCTAAGGTAAGAACTGCTCGGTGGAGCCGCCTTTGGTTCATTGGTGGCCTTGTGAAACCAAGGAGTAAGTTTTCCTCCCAGAAGAAACGGCAAGCAATTGGAGTGAATTTTGAGTGTCGTAAATCCAAAACCAAAGCACTGAAAGAAAAATGACCAATTAGAACAAGAAAATATCAAGAAGCGACTGTGAGGACTTAAATTCAGCCAACTACCCTAAGCGCGGGAAAAACGCGAGTGACCATTACCCGTTTTTTTGTTTGTTTGTTTGTTTGTTTGTTTTTTTTTTGCGAGATCTGATTGGTTGAGGTGGCATGTTTTCTTTTTTTAGACCAATCACAGAGCGTCATAAAGTTAACTCACAGCAATCTCGCATTGTTGTCCACGTTCAATTGAAAATTTCTCCTAATACTATTATTTTTAAGCTTGTGCATGATTTTTTCCCAAATTTATTTTAGTTTTGATTTTTAGAACTGCAGTTTTCCTAGATTCTATTGATTAACTGAACAAATTCAGTTAACTAACGATTATAGGTACAAACGCTGATTTGCGGCTGAAAAATGCAGGTTGTAACCTAACTTTCGAATGACAATCACTGTAACAATTTGAGATCCCTTAACGTAGCACATAACTACTAACGTAGCTCACTGTCAGATAGTAACAATAATACAACTAACAGAAGTTCCAACAACTTGCGTGACAGGACAGCTGTGCCAAGTTGGGTGAACTTTTCTTTTCTTTCTCCTTTTATTTCGTTCTTACCCCAGGCGGAGGGGGACGCTTCACCGACCAGTAAACTACATCGTCTGCTCGCGGAGTCTCGACAAATGGTTCAAAACCTCGAACAATCCTCCACATTCTCCCTGACCGGAAGTCCTAATCAGGTTTGCATTAGCGTCACGCATTTCAGTTTGTCACGCTATACCTTAAGGCTAGGTTGCGTTGGAAAGTGGCTTAGATGAAAAAAAAAAAAAAAAAAAAAAAAAAAAAAAGAAAAGAAAAGGAAAGAAGTAAAAAAGGAGAAAAACTTAAAACAAAGGTTTTGGCTGGGCTGGTCAACTGGTCACTGCCAGAGGAAGCTTTTCATGAGTTTTCGCGAAGCAAAATTTTCATATTCCAAACGTTGGCTGAAAAACATATCGGGACTGTTTCAATCATCGGTATCTTCCTTTTAGTCTAATTAGCGATAAGGCTAACATTAACAAATAGTTCTATTGAAGTTTAATGAATGGTAATGTATTGCCATTGTCACTTAACATTTAATACAAAATTCTACTTGTAACCGCAACTGCAATTACGTCAGTGTCCTTCTTTAATCATGTATTCCTCGCTCGCTAATAAAGTTCCTTAATGATTATAGGATAACAATTGCATTTGCAGTTAACCATTTTAAGCTCCCAGCGAGGTCAGACTGAAATTTTACCTCCCTTTATTAGTGTGATAGTTTAAGAAAAGATTCTTAGAATTTTAAGACATTGATTACTAGGAAAACTTGCTTTGAGTTAAGGAGAAAGTTGTTACTACCTTAGGAAATATATGGATTTTACTTAAAATGTGTACTTTTATTGTACGCATGCTAAGCCAGTAGAAATCAGACCCATTTTCGGAAGAAGTTCCGGTCTCCAAAGTGTGTTTCAAATCCAGGGGTGTGGTTTTTAAAACTAATCAATCAAGAGCGACGTTACAATATTTTGTGTCCTCTTTTTCTGCGACATGCAAAAATATCTTCTAGTTGAGGAGAAACAAAAAACGACAGTTAATTTTGACAGAAAAGCAGCAACACGAGAAGGAAGATTTTCCAGAACGTGAAAAGGACTTCTAAGGATGAAGAAGTTTGACCTAGACTCGTGAATTGAATGTAGCTCTTTTAACCAGGCTTTCTGTTTGATTGTCCGGTGGTGTAGTTACAATCCTGTCTTGTTGGTCAGCTTTTCGTAGCAGGAAGTTGATACCAATGAACGCTCTCTAAAAGATAACACGCTCTGTCTCTGTTTCTCTTTAGGACTCCACGGTTCCCACGAGTGAGCAGTACACACCGCCGCAAAGACATCTGGGAAGTCCACTACATTCGCGTCCAATACCCACCTCTACTGAATGAAAAGTAAGCAGTACGTATGGGTAGTGTTTTTTGCGTGATCTGATGGGCTGCTTATGCCGAGCAAGTTAGCTTTATCCATTTTATTTTGAAAGTCTTCAGTTCGCTTTACTAAGCTGCAAAGTATTTAAACTGTGAACTATTTTGGAGCCTGTTTGAACCTTTGGCTTATGACTCTGCAGGATTATCTTTCAACAAGTTTTGGCTAATTCGGCAAGTGAGCTACTTGACTATATTATTTTGTGCTTCGCTACTAAAAACCTACTTTAAACGTGAGTGAAAAAAAAGGACAGAACTATTCGCAGGTGTGAAAATTAAGGCCGACTTTTCTCGGGATGAACTTATCGTGACATAACATCTGGGACATTGTAACCTAGTCAACGACAAGAAAATGAATTTAAAAAATATATATTAACTACAAAAAACCTCTCTCTTTTCAACGTTTTAGTGGATCGATTAGTGGAATGATTTATCGTTCACCTCTAACCTATAATCTTTCTCATCCGTGGGGTTTATTTTATTTCATTTCATTTTTTGTCTCACTATACTTTTCTCCCTTGATATTGCAGATTAACATGTCCACAATTTTGGGCTGATCCTAACGACGCGCGCCCGCAGTGCTTCTGTGCTTAAAACTTGATTCGTCTCACATTCGGATCGTCTTCGGAAATCCGAATACTTCCGTAAAGCCAGGTGTGACTGCTCGAATCAAAATGGTTTCCAACATTAATCCACGTGAAGTTAAATTTTGTTTCGATATAAATAGTATAGCTTGAGTTACAATTGTGTTTTAACTGTACATAACGAATACTGACTATTAACTTTACCTTTTTTCATTATTTTTTGTTATGAAATGAAAGAGAAAAAAATCCATTTCGTACAAATTCATTCTAATGTACTCTTTTGTTGACCAAAAATACAATGCAAATATCTTTGAATTATTTTTTTTTATGATATTTTAAAATTGATTGAGTTATATTGAGAAACGGATGTATTTCATTTTTAATATCTCGCCTTTTCAGATTAAACAAATGCGAACGAACTCGTTCTCCTCTATGACACAGTTTGAAAATTAGTTCTCTTAAGCTTTGAGTTCATCTCCTACAGGCCAGGTGTTAAAGGCTACACATTACTACTAGTTTATATACAGTTATATTGCTCATGTTGGATACTGGTGTTATAAGTTTGGTATTATTGTGCAAAAAGAAAAGTTCACCTGACGCAACATGTCGCAACTTTTTGGAACAGAAGTAGTTATACTCACAGCAAACGTTCTTTAGCCTTTAGAGTCATACAACCATTTTTTCTTTCGTGATGAGAAACGCGCCTGCAACAAGACGCACGCGTGGCGTAGCCAGATGGAAAATTAGCGGATGATATTAGAGCCTCTCTCTTAACCGATCGCGCGTGTCAGCAGGCAGTCCACGCGTTATCGCGTGGGTCATCGCGTTGGATTTCAACCAGGCAATCACGTTGGAGGGAAATATATTAGGAACATTTACTCCAACATTTTAGCCTAAATGTCAACCACTAATCGAGAGGTACAACAGAATTCTTATGTTTTGATACACGTACTCATTTCATCTATTATACCAACCAGTCGTAAACTTTACATGATCATGTTTTATTATCTTGTTTGGTTCGTAAAGAGAGAATGATTTTAGATAGACTCTTATTTAATAATTATTATTTAATTGATGTGAATCTAGAATCTTGTGTATGAACTGTTGATTTATTTCATTCAGAATTTGATCGGGTGGGGCGGGGTGTGATGACAAGAAAGAAAGAAAGTAAAGTGTGCGAATCCAAACTGGTTGATGGCTGTATTTTTTTTCTTTCTTTCAAATGTCTTCTTCGATATCAACATAATTTTATCAGGAAATAATAAGTTCTTGATTTGAAAAATGTCACAATGGGCTCACAAATAGTTGGTTTCCTCAGGGGGTTCCTGAGCATGGGCTTCTCCTATTTCACCCTCCCCTTCCTTGCCGAGTACGCAAAATCCTCTGAGTTCTTCGTCACTATTGCCTCGTGTTGGGATCTTGAATAACAAACGGCTTACTACATCTCCATTGTTTCTTAATAGTTGCCCGTAATCAAGATTATCTGTCAACTGAAATACTTTTAGAGCTGGGTTACAATCTATCGATCTGCTGCGTCAGAGCACGTCATGCTCGTCAGTTCACGTGCCTTGTGAACAGAAATTCGTGGGGCGAAGAACGTTGTCACGAAACTGAGTTTCGTTTTATTGTAAAGCGCACGATTACCAGGCTGCGAAAGTAGAGCTTATATCCTCTTAATTTCCCTCTAAAACGTATTAGTATTCATGCAATTTTTGTTGCTGAATATTTGGTAAATATTCTTTTGACCTTAAACGATTTTGCTAGGAGCTCTATCTCTGGAGATTGAATGTTATTGGCGCCTGACGCATAACAATACGCGAGTAACAAAGCGAATTCTTTTAAGAGCAAGGGATCGCTGTAATTCCTTTTTCTTCCAGATCACTCATTGCACGCGGGTAAAGATAACTTTTAAACGTCCCTTTGTTCCTTCAATTTTCTAGAAAAAGTTGGAGCATTGATTAAAAAAAAAAACAATTGCGACAAGTGTCAAAAATTTTAGAAATTGGCAGCTTGAATTTTTATGAACGTTCGTATTCATGGAACCAAGGGATATTGTCATTCTAATTAATCTATTTCGCTTGGAAAATAATGCCGTCAAATTTATTTCCTGTCCTGGGAAAAAATAAAGAACTGTTTCACTGCTAACAAGCGAACAGGTGCTTCCTAGTTTTCCTCTATCTGCATCGAGATTGATAGGAGAAAACGCATTTTGATTAGTGTGAACTTGATTTTATGACTTCTCTGGCGGAGCAAATTATGCAGATGTAATTAATATTAATTTTAACTCAAAGGTAATCGTTACTTTTTGGTTGCCACGAAAATTTTATCTAAACGAAGTGCAGTCTCGCTTGACCTTCGTTTCAGTTTATCTCAATGAAATGATGACAGTTTCATTCGTAATATTGGCAGCGTTATGACTTTTCACCCCGATATTTTAAAAACAGACGTGTCTTTCGATATGCAAATACGCTGCGAGGTTTAACAAGTAAAAGATCACTTAGCAACTCAAAAACTGAAACATCCGTTTTACTCAGGCAGCAGTAATTTTCCATACCGCTCGGTTGTGTTTACCAGTTCGCGACGTTTAACTAGGCTTCAATGCAATTAATACCCTAAGACGAAAATCGCTTCTTTGTGCTTGACACCTGAAGGAGAACGAAACCTTCTAGAATTTACATTCACGTCCTATGGGTGATTTCACTTGTTTGAAGTAGATGAAGCCGGCGATCAAGGGCAGCCCGAGAGATCGATAATTTTGCGCAGTGTGTTCAGAGTTCAGGTTCATTTGGAGTCTGAAAGTAAATTGTTTTTGTCTCGAGTACAAAACTCTGAGTTTGAGCGGAAAAACACACGTGAGTACAAGTTATGTGTAAACATGGAACGTGCAGTTGATGTATTGCGAGACGCTTCAGTATGGCTTCGATCTCTGCCAAAGGGAGATATTAATGAGAAGCAAGAAGAAGGATTCCCGTTCAAGGAAGATGCTCCCACGACAAAACCTGACGCCATCTGGTCTAAAACTAAAGAACCCCAGATCGTCGTCGAGACTGATTCGTTTGACAAAAAGAAACTGAAGGATAAAGATGATGAATTCAACTTCGACAAGGCGCGAGAAAAACTGCGAGAGAAGCTTGAATCTGTATTAGCTTTTCCGAGCGAACTGAAGGAAAAATTCCAAACGAAATTTCTCCACGACACCGCAGTTAAAGTTGACATTTCCGAAAGAGAAGAGACCAGATCCGGGAAAGAAACCGACTTTGATCGAGAGTATGACATAATCGAATTGCGCGAAAATATATTCGTCATCGGAGGAGCAACCGAGGGCAACGAAAGCGAGCCCTCTTCGGCTGTTGGAGTCTTCAATTGTGCCGAAAGAACATGGCGGGAAATTGCGCCTTTGCCGGTGAAGACAACGGCTTGTTATGCTACGGAAGTAACAGCTATTCCTGCTCTTGTGGTTGCGGGCGGTTTTGGTGGATGGAAGGCCCTTAACACGGTTCAGATGTACGACTGGGTTACTAAGGAATGGTGCATCCTTAAACCAATGAGAAAAAGACGATGGGGCTGTTATGCGACAGGAACAGAGCACGGGATTCTCGTAGCTGGAGGCTGCGACCAAGGTACTGTCCTAAGCAGTGTCGAACTCTACAACGTCAAGAAGAGAGAGTGGTTCACACTTCCAGAGATGCTGGAACCCCGCTGCAACTTTGGTGGCGGAATCATCGACCGGAAGCTGCTTGTGGTTGGAGGTGGATCAGGCTTCTACTTCAACAGCGCTAAGAATTCAGCTGAAATTTTCGACGGAGAGAAAGGAAAATGGACAAAGCTACCGCCAATGAAGCGAAAGCGCTACGGCTGTGCTGCTGTGGCATGGAAAAGAAAGCTTTTTGTGGTTGGTGGCTGCGACAAGAGCGGATCCGATGTGCTAGAAATTGAGGCGTTTGATTTGGAGGGACATGTATGGCTAAACTTTCCTCCGTTACCCGTAGGATATTCTTTGTGCCGGGCTAAAATTGTGCAAAACATGCTCGTGGCATTTGGCGCTGATGGTGGTGAAAATACCGCATATGCCTTTGATTTTGAACTCAACAGATGGGAGAGGTATATCGAGTTACCACAAGGCAGAAATGCTTACGCTATTGGAGTTATCGGCATTTAAAATATAGAAATCATCGTAAAGTTGTATCCTAAAATTTATCGAAAAGTCTCATTTTGCATGGGAGCAAATGGTTACGTAAGGGTTTCAAGAGCACGAAAAATTCCCAAATTTATAACAAAAGTACTTTTCCAGAGTATTTCTTTACTTAGTCAGTCGCCAATCGACGAAAAAGGTTCAGAAAGCCTGTTATAAGTAAATCAGCGAGGATTTTTAGATTGCACCTAATTTTTTTTGCAAAATCGCTCTGAGAGGGAGCTTGCTGAAAAGTGACCCAATTGAAGGGCTCGAAACATTTCAATATGTATATTGCTAATACTTTTCCATTGTAAGGCTTCACTGAATCTTTCGGCAATCGACATAACACAATCAGAAAACTGTTTGTAGATAACTCAGTTAAGAAATTTGAATTGCCCTTTTATGTGGATATTGCTGCAGGAACGTGTCCAGAATATTTTAAACAAATAGTTCACGGTTCTGCGTCGATATAGCCAGTAGGTTTTTAGAATGTTGTAGAATGTGACGCAGAAACTTTTTGTGCTCTTTGTTTTCTTATAAGAAGCAAAAAAACAATCATCATTGTTTATTAGAAGAAACTTGTTCTCTTTGAGAACATTTCCGTAGATGTTCTCTCCTTGTAGAGAAAGTGCGGCATATAGAATTTGTGATCTTCATTTGTTTACGCAGCAACATTACCTTCGTAAGTAGCTCTTCTTAAGAGTAGAATTTTTGCGATGGTTATCTTGAAATATTATTTTGTACAACGGTCCAGTTTTAAAATATGCGAATAAATTAGGCCGTTAAACAATTAGTTCTAAAGACCTTTGCCCTCCCTCTGTTATGCACTACTGATTGGCTACCTTGACTATAAAACCTACTTATGGTCACGTGAAGAGGACGAGGCTGAGTTATTCTGTACGGTCTTAACTTACTCTTCGTCTCTTCTTCACCAACTAAGGCCCCGAGCGACCACACTAAGGGGTTTTCTAAGTGTCTGTTTTCGTCTGAGACGCAACGAAGGAAAACATTTTCACCCACACTAGCTTTTAAGTTTCCCTCTTAATCCACACCTTCATTTTTTTCATTTCAGTAGCGCATACATTTGGAAGAGTCTTAATTTCGTCTCGCACTAGAAGGTCCGAAGACGCAGATAAAAGCGATAGTGATTGAAGCAGTTTCCATCATCGTTTTCAAAACCCTTCGTTTTAACTTGTCCATACAAGAAACGGAGCGTTTCAAAAAGGCGCCTCTCTCCTGAGATCTCCGTTTCGACCGTTTTCGTGCGGCCGTGGTAGGCAAAAACGTACCAAATCGTATACGTTTACGAACGAAAACGCAGTAGCGTGGATGAGGCCCGAGACAGTCTGGAACAGGGTCCGTGTTCGCCAACTGAAGACTACATGCGGTTTTTACCCCCCTCTCTTGAAAGACGTTCTCGATTGCAGGAAATGAGCCTTTGAAAATGGTCCTTTGGGGGAAGGTATTTTAAATCATTTGGAGAATTTTGAATTGTAAAAAAACATAAATATGCAATATATGGTTCCTTCACTGTACATAAGATAATTTGTTAGTACTTTTTCCGCGTCATTGGAATAGTTTATTAAACATCAATTTGCAAGCAATTAGTTTTAAACTCCGGCTGCGACCAAAAATGCTCATTATTTGTCTATTTTGTTTTTAGTAAGGTGAAACGATCTTTGTCTCTGCCAGTTATGGTAAAACACTCCGCGCTTGAGAGCGCCGCCACTATGGCTTGTCTCTTAAGAAATTCTGCTCTCTAATAGGATGGATAAACCTGAATATCACCCTTATCTAACAAAAAACTCGATGTGCGAGGTACCGGCGAGATCTTCCGCGTTTTCCCGCGAACGACAGAAACTCACGCGTGACGTCCACGCGTGACTTGTTTTTCAATGCGAGAAGACCGGGAGAAATTGGGAACGAGAAACAATGCAACATGGCGGAAAAGACGAATAGCTTTTAGCGAAGATTACGTACTTTGCCACCAGTTACCGAACAAAAGTGGTATATTTGATCTGAATTGCCTCCCAAAGATGCTTTCTCTCGCCTTGTGATGTTTATTTGCAACAAAAGTGGTCACAGCGCCTGCAAAGACAGAAAATGGAGAGCCAAACTGATGCAACATGCTAAAGGTAAGGTACCTTTTAAACAGGTTGTCATGAAGGTATTCTTACTTTTTTAAGCAGTCTGAACTTCTACCTAATTCACTGTTATGTAATTAAGGTACGTCGATGGAAGGAGAACATCAGCTTTTACAATTAAAGTGTATGCGCACATTCACCCTAATAAAGCTTCCCTTGATCATGATTCTAAAATGTAAATGAAACTTAACACCACAACAGACAGAGGCTTGTTTTGGGACCAGACAGTTTATCAAATGTATGTATCCTACGTAAATAACACACTTGACTATTACATAAAAGATATTTGACGAATAAACTGAACCAACAGTCCAGTAATTAAGAGTAAATTACAATCAAAACTGTTGATGATGTGGGTGGGAGGGAAACTAAAACTTTCTTAAAGCTAGAAATAAACTTGTTGCTTGCTTGCTTGCTAGATTACTAATAACAAGTGCATTGATACCTGAGTAGTAATACTAAGTAATTTCACAACTAAAATGCATTAGCATGGTGAATAGCCATTGGCTCTACCCAAGTCTTATGACTTATATGCTGAACGAATTTGCTCAATCTTAAAGAAAAGGGAAAATACAAATTTGCACCCTGTCTGTACCCAGTCCAGGCCTCTCAGTTATCAATGTCTAGATTCATATTAATAGAGATTAATATTTACTTAAATTTCGAGCTGGAGAAAAACATATTCATATGCCTACTAACTAAGCAAGATTTTTGTGCGTTCATCATACAGTTAAGTGACCAAAATAAACAATAGCGGAGATATATCATTTTCATATAATTATGACCTGAATTTACAAAAATAGGCCGATAGTCTCTATGGGTAACCAAAGTGTTTCAAAGACTTCCCAACAATCTCGAACATTTCCATATATATTCCTTAAAATTATTAGGTGTTTCAAATAATTCTGAATCACCCATTACTAACTATCACCTACTATCAAATTGAAAGACGTTAGCAACTGTTAGTAACATCGCTTATCATCACTAGACATAATAAATTGCTACCAGAGTTAAATTTAGACTGTTACATGTACCAGGAATCACTTACTCTTAAAAGGTATTCAGACTACAATACTAAGGGTCACTTGGTCACAAAAATCATTCACTGAATCTAAACTTTACACACTGGTACAGGATACTCACTGTCATGTAATCTTTCACTGACTGCAGAGGTAACTCATTGTCTCAAGACATCATTCACTGTTAAAACACATCTCTCACTGTTACTTACTAAATAATATTCACTGTTATTGAACATTGTCCAGTGATCAGAAACCAGATTAGATGTAGACTTGATTGTTAGAGACATATTTTTGATGATTGAGAGGTGAACATTTTTTGATGTGGGTCCTGTTTGGTAGACTGTTGTGTGACTCTAACATAGTGACAGTTTTTCCATTGAATTCTCTCACCAGGAAAATGTGTCTAAGAATAACTGGAAGAATAAAAATCACAGTAAATTGCAGTTTCCAGTCTCCAAGTTTAACATAGGGGAATGATGTCTTCCAGCTGGATTGGCCATCACTAAGATTTAGCTTGAAGGATATCATGGAGTTTTGAAATAATTAACTGATACTATGCACAGCCACATTCTGCACAAATGATCCAAAACATTTTTTTTGGTATAGATGTAGACTAGTTGAAAACTGTATGCTTTGATATCAGTATGGTAAGAGTTAGACTTGCTCTTTTAGCATGACAACTGTCAAGATGTAAAGCTGATGGTCAGACAATTATAAACTTTTCTTGTGTTCTCATATTGTAGACTGCATTGGTTAGTACAGCAGTAAACCATTGTATCATGCAAGCCTTGGTAGGTGGATGTGGACAAACTCAGGAAGGTGGCCTGTGGATAAGCTATGGTATATGATCTGTGGACAAGCTATGGTAGGTGACCTGTGAATAGCTATGGACAAGCCTTTGGACAGTTCATCATGGTCAGAGGAGAATTGTAGATCTGGGATAAGAGTGGCCAGAGTATGATGAGGCTGAAAAGAATGTGCTAGATTTGATGGTTGAAACTATGACAGCAGGTAAATTCTAACTGTTTTGCAAACTACTTTGAATATTTTTTGTCACACCAAACCTAGATATCCTAACAAACATTTGTGGCCAGTCTAGCCTCTCTTACAATTGTAGTATAACATTTAACAACACCTAGGCCATCTGTACCATAATTATTAAATATCATGAGTTTATTGTTACCAGAGCTTATCCTAGTTTCCACAGCACAGCATAAGTATTAATACTTCTGCAGGTTGGGATTCTGAAATTGTGCAAGTTTCCCTCCACCTATAGTTTTCTGATAGCAATCGATAACCATAGGTAAAGAAAGGCTCTGTAAGAGTTAAGAGTTTCTCCCAAAAACAAAGCAAAATGACCCTCTTTCAATTTTCCACTACACATGAATTCAAAGCAATTAAATCTTAAGAACATCATTCTAAGGTCATAATTTATCTAATTTTAATACAAAATATGTTTTTTGAATCTTGAAGCTATAGGTGACCGTGATATAGACAGGATTTTAAATTTCAAGAAAACACTGGTATAGATGTTGACTTTCAAAAGTATGTCCTTATAAACCTTCAAGGGTCAAATTTTTCAAAATCAGAATTTCTCACTCTTTCTTTAAGGTAACAAATAATTGATAGTGATTTGGCAAATAGAAAATTTGAAGGAGAATGCAAGAAAAGCTAAAGCAATCATCCAATTATTATTGATACACACCTAACCATTTGATTCTTTGAGGTATTCAGAGGCCTGTTGACAATATTAGGGGGCCCAGCTTCATCTGGGACCAGGGATCTAGGGTTAATACTTTTTTGTCTGGGTGCATGATTT